ATACCACCAGGCTTTGTAGACAGTCACAGAACGTCAGAGATCACCGTCCCTGTAATTCTGAAAGGGACCTCTCCACACTGGTCTCTCTCTCTCTCTGGCCTTCCTGTCTTTTTAACCGTTCTCACCTAGAGGTACAGTAGTTATACCCTTTCTCCAAGTGGCCTTCCTTGGGCCCCTCTAACTACTTCTGATACAGTCACGTACTCAGGTTAATCAATCATTTGGCTTGGTGCCAGCCTGACTGAGTCTCCACGAGGTCTTCCCTTTCTCCTGTCTAAGATAGGAGATTGTTCAGTTTAGGGCTGTATCTGGTGCTTGTTATTTTGATATGTGGGATCATTACTGTCTTCCTTTTAAGTGAATGGTTATTTCTTATCAGTATCCCGGGATGGTACCAAAGGCCTCCAGTTTGAACAACTTGCTCGTTAGTTCGTTATTCTTGAGGGTTGCCTTCTCTCGCTTGGTAGGCCCTGTCAGAATCTAGAGACTTATTGCTAAGCTGAGATACTGTGTCGACCTGTACCTTGGACTGTTACCTCTGTAGGTTTTGTTGTTATTTACTGATAAGTGGTGACCTCCTGCTCTTTCCCAAGGCTGTCTTCAGAAACAGAGTAAAACAGATGTGTCCTACCCCATGACTGTCACTATTTTCTCCATTCTACACTTGTTTAATATTTCATTATTACTAGACTATAACTTCTATATTCTAACATTATATTTGAATAAACTGAGTTAGCCACAAAACTTTATTGTCTGGTCTTTTGACTCGAACACTGGGAGTTGGGATACCAAAAATCTCCCTTCAGTATTTTCAACGTATTATATTGGGCTTTCCTTTAAATTTTCAATTGCATTCATTATGTTGTTACTGTGCAACTATATTCAAATGTACATAGAGACAGTGAGCATATTGTCTCCAGATAAAACAGAGAAACTACTTCTATGGCACTGAAGATTGAGAATTCACACCTACTGGAACAAACCTTTCATGGTTTCATTGTTTTAAAATTACCTTATGATTGGTATACATCTTCACTTCTAAGCCACGGTCTCTTCATTCTGGGATTTGCGTCCATTGTTGCTGGTTTTCCCCAATATCATGCCCAAAGTGGAACTTATTCTTTTGTAAGCACTGGCAATGAGTATCGACATCCTACTGGACTGCATAGGACATCACAAGGTATCTCCTCATCTGGCTGCCATTACCAATTTTTTTTGGTCAGTTAGCCATCATACACATGCAGAATCTCAATTGCATGCTTAGGATATCAAAACTAGACTTGGAGCTCCACCTACACATGGAAATCTCTGCCTGCAATAGAATGCACACTCTCCTCGGCGAGAGGCGTTCTGTTTACTCAGTTCCTGAGAATATTAGGTGCTTTAAGTGCTAGTATGCAAGACTTGTGGACCCCAGAGTGTGCATTTTGCGTTCACCACCTGGGATAGTGAGGGGATAATAAGTCAGGGTGCCTTCTCTTCATCATTACCCACTGACTCTTGCCAAAAAAACTGCATTTGTGTGGTCATCAGAGGCGAAAAATCCCATCAGGTCTCTAAGACCATTTTTATTGTCTCAGAGTGGGATTTGGAAGGTCAGTCTGGTGACAGGGATCCTTCCTATTCGACGACCATTTATTCCTACAAGAGAAAATCCCTAAGTGATAGGATGTTCCTCACTAAACAAACAATATGTAGCTTCCAAACAGCGTTTTCAATGGTACAGAACACAGTGTTAGCTGGTTAAAGTCCTTCATTGCCTCAAATGCATAACCCATGGCTCAGCTCTCATCAACGAGGAACACCATCTTATCTGAATTTAGTCAGTTAAGTCCTGTAGCTCAGTGGAGTCCTGTAGCTCAGTGGTTAAGCACTCGCTTTGCAAGCGAGAGACCTGAGTTCAGTTCCAGGCAGAGGGTGAGACCTTGGGCAAGTTTCCTTACTCCACACAGAGCCTAATAATAATCTCTCCAAAACCAAAAACAATAATAAATTGGTCATTTTCAATCTACGACTGTTTGTGGGACATTGCTGTGCGCAATTGGCTGCGCGTTCGCCCACAAATATACAGTCAATTCACTTTACAGTATATTCTGTGAAGCGCTTTGGGACGTCTTCCCGATGTGAAAAGCGCTATAACAAATGCAAGGATTATTAATATTATTATTAGTAGGCAGCTTATTTATTATTATTATTCTGTTGGTTTACTGCGTAAAACTGACTTACAAATGACGGCTAATTTTAAGAACTTTTCACAATTTTGCTTGATGTACATTAAAAATGTGTTTTCACTCTAATAATAGGTGGGATTTTAGGTCTTGGTCAGTACAGTATCCTGGACAATGCATGTTTATTTCTCTCCCGCACTCCCCCCGATGTTTTGCTGCATTTGTCTGTCAACTTGTATTGGGTTAAACTCGTCATAACTTCAAGGATCACATGTGCTTACAAACTGCCCTCAGACACAAACACAACTTCCTGAACCCTCAAAGACAGGAAGTCAAATGACACAGAAACGTTTTTTGCGGCAAAACATTTGTGCAGCCTTGTTGCAGATCAGCTTGTTACAGACCATCACGGTCAAAACTGCTCAGAATCATGAGAGGGGATGTTATGTTACTGTACCAATCTGTCTTTGTTTTTCTAATACTTATTAGTAATTTTTCGGTCAAAGTAACATTAATCCCAGAATGTGTGATTGCCATCAGAGAGACAAATATCACCTTCCTCTGCATCATTCTTTTTCTTCATCAAACATATTATTTGAGGACAGTTTATTTATACTCTTTGTATTCGGAAAACACCAAGAAGATAACCCCTTCTTCTTTTCTCCAATTGAACAATCCCAGTTTCTCACGCGCTCAAGTTTGATCAGCCTTAAATGCCAAGTAAGTGACCTGTTGCTCAACCCAGGGCTCCATGACTATGACCATTTCCGCTACTAATAGCAACATCAAGGTTGTGCACAATTCATGAAACATAGCCTGTTGAATATTTTGTGTGGAACTTCTAGGATTTAAAGTCTAATCCTCCAAAACATACATATATTTTGCTTTGCTGACCACCACCGAACACTATCCATGAGCATTATCCACAGATAGACTGAGGATGCTGTGCAATCAAAATTCCCATCAGGTGATGTCTGGTGACATGTACAGTGAATCAAACTAGCAACTAGCTCATATCGACCAGTTTGACGCATTGTTTCTTCAGTACTAATGAAACAACACTTGGTACAGGCTAACTTAAAAGCAGGCCAACAAAGTGTGGCGCAATTCGTCCAACACAGTGCAAAAGTTGAAGCGTGGGCGTCGAACTTTTCACGTAATGGCTAAAAATACACCTAACATGAAACAACTCAGTATAAAAACACCAATCGTTCTGCTGTATTTGTAAATGTCAAAGGATAATTCCATTACAAGAGTCTCGCTCACTCACATTATATATAGTGCATGGCTTATTAACATTTGCCATCAATTAGGCTGTGCATCTTGCAGTAAAGTGGTTGTACCTACACAATATATCATTATTTATGTAAAACAGATATGCATTCTTACTACATGAAGTGGTGTGTGTTTTGTGGGTGAATGTGTCTGTCTGGCAAATTGACCATAGGCACAGGCGAAGAGGAAAATCTTCAAATGTGATTTGAAGACACTTAAAAAGAAAGTGTGGTACAGGGATTGAGGCAGAAATAGCTTGAAGGGGCAGTAGAGGTATCAGGAATCCACAGAAATCCTGAGCGAGTCAAACAAAGGTACAACAGTGAACGAGGGAAACAAAAGGATAGATTATAGCTTTTCATATTATAAATATGATGTAGTCTGCATCGCCACCTGGCAAATCACCATTATGTCCCTACAATATATAATTTGCATAGATTTGTGTAAGAAAATGTCCTGCATTTATCAGATTACTTGTTACCTATGAACAACAACAATTCACATTTATGCAGCATCAATTCAATTCACTTAACAGTATATTCTGTGAAGCGTTTTGAGACGTTTTGAAGACGTAATAAGGCACAAGGATTAATATTACATCATGGCATCCTTCGCATAGCCTATAATCTTGGTGGGCTTCAAAGCATTTCGGTGGGACACTAAGTAAGGGAAAGGCAGCGGGGAGAGAGCTGGAGATAGATATGTTTCAAGAGGTAGGAATTGAGTCAGGACAAAGACGGATTGGGAAAGAGTGAGACAAATTGCGAGGTGGAGGGATTTGCAAAAGATAGGGTATAGGAATCTAATAATAATTACAGTACAATCCTTGATTGATATATCACCTTATTATGTTGTTGAGATGTTTCAAAAGAGTTTTGCAGGATATATTGTGAACTCGTATGATTGTGTTTATTTTGTGGACAAAGAACTGAAGGTTTAGCCACTGATGGTGATGCAGAGAGGGTGCAGCAAGCCATTGGAGACAGAAGATGTTGGCAGAAGACAAGGAGGATGGTTTCCAGACCGCGTGTAGAAAATGGTGGAAGCAAAGTTGAGTGGCCAGAACTTTGGCTACCAAGGGCAAGTTGGAGATGGGCCAATAATTGGAGAGTTTAGAGGGACTGGGGTACACCTTTTGATGGAGTGATTTTGAAGCAGAGCACTATGCCAGAAGAGAAGGAAAGGTTAATTTCTATAAAAGGGGACAGCTGGATAAAAGTAGAAGACATTTTTCGTCAGATTTGAATGTTTCTGACACAACTGGTTCCACGAGTTGATGCCCAAACCAACATTTACGATTGGACAAAGCACCACAATCTATTTATGATGCTAAACAGAGCATTTTTTTAAAGTTTTGATACACTAAGCTTTTTTCTGCTCTTAACAGGGTGGGTTAGTATTTTCATAATTTTAATGCCAAACTGATTTCAAATTGCGTTCTCCACACCTGTTACATTTCGCGAACCCAAAGAAACAGGAAGTCAGTGTCACAGCGACCTACTCTGCATCAAATAATCCACGTTCACTTGTGACAGACCATCAGAGCCAGAGTCAGACATGGGGAGTGTTGTCTTCCTGTACCTGTCTGCCTTACACATTATTTCAACAGGTATATATGTTCATTCTATAGTTCGGTTATTCTATGAAATACTTGCAAACTTGTTTCCATGTGACATTTATCTTACATACTTACGTTTATTCCTCTTTTACTCATTTGTTTTCTCAATGGCTCACCACCTGAGAAGTCAGTGTTTGACTTTATTTTCTGACAGTTGATGGCGATTCTTCCGTGAAAGTGACTCAAATCCCCGACCATGTGGCTGCCATCAGAGGAACAAATGTTACCTTCCGCTGTATCTTCCCCTTCTCTCAAGACGGTTCAGAAGTGGAGGTGCAGTGGAATAAGAAGGGTGAGAGTGGCTATTTGGATACAAAGGAGGATAACAGGAAACTATTTGGTGTAAAAACTAAAGGAAGCAGCTTCTTCCAGTTCTTGAATGTGATTTCACAGGACTCTGGAGTCTATCGCTGTGTAGTGGTCCGTCAGGGATCAATAATCGGAACAGGATCTGGATCGCGATTAACTGTGTGCGGTGAGTGTGAATGAAGAGCGAAATTGGCATTTAGAAATTACATGAAAAGTAATAAATGCGGTGAATGCTATATCGTTATTTATATTGTTTGTACATTATAACTTTCACAATCTAGTTTTTAAAGTGCTTTGAGACATCTCGAAGATGTGATAAGGTGCTATTTTCAAATGCAATGATTATTTTATCACCACCGTTCGGCAGCGGTCAGCAGAAGCGAAATTCTATCTCAGAGCCGAAAGTACAACCAACTGAGCCACACTAACACAGTGTGCACACCTCTGCCAGGAATCCTCTATTGTTCGCGGGTTCAACCTATTGAACAGACATTTTTAAGTGATCATTTGCACCTGCCAATCATCAAAGTTAGTAATAATATGCAAGATAAAGATTATGAATAAATATTACTTGACAAAGCCACAATGTAGTTAAAGCAGGAGGAAGGCGATGCTGCTGTGAGAGGGATATTTGTGTATCTAAACAAACCTCCAATTGTACTCAGGAATCAGGAGTTTGCAAAGAAATGTATTGGATACAAATTAAAATAAAGTTTCTCCTGCTGATTGATCAAAATGAATACAATTCTCCTCCATTATCTTTTCTGCAGTTCCCCCAACTCCACTGAAGATTTTCTCTAGGAATTCACCTAAGCCTCAGACTCTTGTGTGTGAAACTGCTTTGTTTCACCCAAAGGAAATCACCTTCACTTGGTATAAAGATGGCACCGAAATTGTGCCAACACCAGAAATAAAGCTGGAAGAGTCAGGTTCCACTGAGAAGCAGAACTCAGAGGATCTCTATAAGGCCTCGAGCTCTATCGAAGTCACACAGTCTGGCCAGAATGGATCTGTTTATAACTGTCTGGTGTCTCACATCAGCCTCAAGACTTCAGCTATTGCCACCTTCGCTTTCCCAAAATCTAAAGCAGGTAAGATGCTAAAAGATTATTAAAAAGTCAACTGTTGTTAATTGAATTTTCATAGGGATGTTCAGTTGCATTGATTCATTAAGTAAATTGTCTGAAGCAATTTGAGACAACAATTATGTGATAATAATAATAATATTAATCCTTGCATTCGATATATCAGTCGCAGTATAAAATGCATGGATTATTATTAATGTTCAGCGGAAGAACGTCGGATCTCATCACTTGATGTCTGACAGCAATCGGGTCGAAGTTGGAGGTCGAGTGTGGAGGAAGATGGGAGAGTTGGGTTTCATCACTGTACATGTGAACATGCAATACATGTCTACAGTGATGTCGCCAAGTGGGATAGATAGTGAAGAGCAGAGGACCGAGGATAGAGCCAGGAGGAACATCCAATGTTCAGCAGCACCTACCTGTGTCTTGAGGGATGGAGTGTGACTGTTGTCCTGGGGAACCTGAGGGGATAGGAAGCGATGGCTGATATGATGGGAGACCAAAGTGTTGAGAATGGTGGTGAGGGAGTTGTGGATGATGGTCATATAATACATTGTATCTTTTGGTGTGAAGGTTTTGCTAAACCTAACGCATATTATATACGTATAATAACTTAACATAATATAGCATCATAAAGCGGTCTAATTTTCAAACTCTTTTTAACACAAGGCGTTTGATCACAAAATGTAATTTTATTCCATAATGTTCCCTCATTTTATTAATAACAAGTGAGCACGTTTCATTGCTTGTGATGAGATGTCACTGGGTACAGCCGTCTTACTCTACAATTTATGGTTTGTATTTTGTGAAAATCAATGGTACGTTTTGGTGTCTGTGTGTTCTGCGCGTCACCTCGCCTGTGTAATAAAATCAAGAGCATTAATAAAAATACACGCGATCAGATGTCATTAGTTACACTACAAAATAACAAACTGTTTTCAATGATGCTCTTATCATTTTTATTCTTATTTCAATAAATACAAAGATTAAGATTAGATTTGTAATATTTAAACCGCTCATTTTGCTTAATATTTGTCTAAATCACTACCAATATAATTCATAACTGATATGCATAAAATTTATATTCCACTTCAATGACTGGAACTATAAATCGTTGCGCTGCACAATGTTTCACCTCAGTTTACACTGTTTCTCCAGACAGTAAAAATGTAATCCGATATTTATTGTGGGCTGGATGTGCAGCGGGTGGTTTCGCATTTCTGGCGCTTGTGATCATTATTGGGAAGCGATGCCAATTAAAAAAGAAAAACGGTAAGAAAATTCTGATTTCATTGCAATTAATTGTAAATATTACACATTGATACAAAACTACAGAAAGCACCACTGGGTTAGAAAAATGGGGATAAAAGCATCTTGATTGTTACTTCAAATTTGAAGGTTGAGTTCTGTAATGCCACGGTTATACAATACCAAATGCTAGTAGTTATTGCAACAGATTCAGCACTGTAATCATTTCACATGGTGAACTTTAGTATTGCAGAATTTGACTTTTTACAACATCCAATGTCTGGTCTAACATATTGCAATCCGCTTTAAATATGACGAATTACGTGCATTTATTTGCAAGTCATCGTGATGAATGGCGTCAAATAAATGCAAGAATTCACAGTAGATGTATGTTTACTAGCAATAGAATTCACTTAAACATTATATTCAAATGGTGTCATCAACAATATGTTTTTATTATGGAGAGTCCCAGGTGAGTGGCCTCGGCCAAGAGAAAAAACAAAAAGGATTGAGGAATAGTGGATAGGCGTCGCCAAGTTTGAAATTGAAAATGTTCAAGGGAAACAGTTCCTCCGTTTTGAGGATTTCAGAAAGTATGAGTGAAGGGGAGATTCAGAGAGAAGGAAAAGGGTGCAGGCGAATATTTCTATTTCACTCATCCTGAAATGTAGAACAATAATATTATTCTAGTGTTAATACTGAAATTGAGTAAATATTTAATTCAGTAAATTTAATTCATTTTAGGATCAAAGGGAAACCTGACTCAATTGGGCAAACTTGAAGATCAGGTAAGTTTGTCACCAAATTATTTGGGTGACCAATGGACCAACTCAGTGATTATCATTGTGGCCGGTATCATTCCAAACATCTTAAAATGCTTCATGAACAATCGTTGTCTTTGTAGCGACTCTATTTGGTCGAACCAACTTACACACAATATAGTCCGATAAACCTTCATGAAGTGTTCTGCCAATTTATCATGATTACCATTCGCGAGGACACCGGACAAGCCTTATTCTGTGTTAGAGTATTCTCCAATAATCTTAAACGTAAACCGAAATAAGAGTACAGGAACTTGGTTTACCAACCCACCTCCAACAAGATAGAGCTCATGTTGACTCGGACTATGAGCTGAAAGTTTCCAACCTTAACATCATTCCTCCAGAATTACAGACCTATTTATTTCCCGTTTCAGGATTAAGTTGTTACGTAAATAAACACGGTTTGCTGGCAATAATTTAACTTTCTGGTAATCCTTCCGAGTCTGGCATATGTCAAGGAACACGAGGAGTCCCAGCATATTTTAAATGATAATATTTTAAGTGATAATTGTTGTTTGATCCATCTAATCAGATATGCAACATTTTTTCACGGGGTGGATTTAAAAACATCAATTGGAAAAATGAATTTCACTGCCTCTTGACAGAACTCTTGGGCAAGTTTCCTTACTCCACACGCCTAATAATAATCCCTCCAAAAAACAAAACAATAATAAATTGGTCATTTTCAATCCACGACTGTTTGTGGGACATTGCTGTGCGCAATTGGCTGCCACGTTCGCCCACAAAAATATACAGTCAATTCACTTTACAGTGTTTTCTGTGAAGCACTTTGGGACGTCCTCCCGACATGAAAAGCGCTATATCAAATGCAAGGATTATTATTATTATTATTATTAACTCGATCTACATACTGAATGTTATATTTCTTTAGCTATTTGAACTTCATAGCAGACACTTTTTTTTCCTTAAACCCACTACTTATTCAATACCATGGTCAAAGATGACAGACCAAGAAAGGCAACGGAACAACCACGTACCTTTGTTTTACAGGCGGGGGAGGCAGCAGCGGGTGACAACGTGGCTTATGTAACATTGGATTTGAGAAGTTCCAATAAAACTCCAAGAAATAAACATCAGGAAGACAGGACAGTATACGCCCAGGTACACAGCATAGAGAAATCTTGTATTGAACAGGTTTGGTAAATTGGGTTCATTGATTTTCATCGTTATTATTTTGTCCCCTCCTCCAATCTTCTACCTCGTTTTCGATGCTGCATTTGGTTGTGGAACATTTTCAGCTTTCCAAGATTCAACCAATATCATTTCTTTTTCTAAAGATAATGAAGATATGTAAAACGGATCAATTTTAAAGAGTATTGGGGAAAAGGCGGGTAAATGGGACTCAATAGATTATTCTTTCAAACAGACAGCACGTGTACGATGGGCCGTCTGGTCTTCTGGGCAATATAGTTCTAGTACTTTATCTTTATAATCGAATCAACAATTCAGCAAATAAATTAACAAGGATCAGATATATTCCGATCCAGACATCCTGAGATGTCAATGTCCCACAGAGCAATCAGGAATTGCATCATTAACTGATCTTCGCCAACCCATGAAAGCAGTTGTCAGCTCATCGTTGAGATCTACAGCCCTTAAATCTGCAGCTACATATCGCAGTTTGCAATATCAATCGTCCTTGGGGTGAAGGGTTTGGAATAATGTAATGTAAAATGTGTTGCATACATGAGGGGAAGAGATAAGAGAGTTATAGAGAAAATAGGAAGGGATGGAGCTCGTGTGAAGTATAAACACCGGATGGTCAGTTCCTGTACCATTCTATGTACATCTCTCTGTGGAACGAGCACAAAGACAAACCAAACGTTGTTTTTTCAGACCAAGCGAGGAGCAGCCGCTAACAAGCTGACATACGCTGCTCTGGATTTGCCTCGCTCCAAAAATACAGGAAAAGCTAAACACAGCGACAAGAATTCAGAGTATTCCGAGGTAAAGATCAGAAACTACGAAGATGGCACTTTCATGGAGTCAGGAACCGCATAATGTCACAATAATAGACAATTATTGATGCAGATTCCTCACAGTTCCCTTCTAATGTAGACTAGTTACAGTGTGTACATCAATGTGGTGTGTTATTGTGTCACTGCTCTGACACTGCAGGAAGACATAATGTTTGATTAGTTTGTATTACCTATCATTTATCAAGTCAATGCAATTTCAACTTCAAATTTTTTTAATACTAATCTGATAATGTCTCTGCGCTATAAACTATAATAATTTATAAAATCTAAGAAGCTATTATATCACTGGAACAAAATATACCAATACAAATCTAGAACCAGTTTCTAATAGTTTGTAAGACTGTGAAACGTTTTTGTCGACTTTCAATAAACAAAAGTTATGAAACGTAATGTGTTGGGTTTGATTTGTTCAATCTATATCTTCGATAGAATCCGATAAAATTAAATCAAAAACTATAAAATGGAATTCTTAAGCGTTGTTTCAGATGGAGCTTAGCCAAGTACTTACTGCTGGGCTTCAGACATAGATTATGATGATTCTTTAACGTTCAGTAATGTTTCTCTCTCTCTCTGGGAAATCCAAACATTTTATGTATTAGTCACTAATTGAATGATTGCCCGAAGAGCTGCCCCTTTAGTTGATCCCTGCTATCATCATTCCATTGACCGTGGAGCCAATTTCAACAACAAATATCCGGTTGAATACCCACAACATTTGTATGTAGATTTCATGATCAATTCTAAAACCATTTCTCAGTCGGTCACATTTAAAAGTTAGCAAGCCTCTGCTCAGGGTGGCTCCTTCATGGCTGAATCTGATAGATTGAATACCAGGTCCTCTGCATTACACACAGCGCCAAGTAAATATTCAGCAGCTCAGTGTGTGCTGTGAGGGTAATGTTTTGTTTCATTTATATTTTGTTACCTCATCTGATGACAGTAACGCACAGAGTCTCAAATTAGAAGTAAAGTGACATAAATTACCTTAGAAACATTCTAAGAAAATGGGATGCAATTGATCTGCCGCAATGAAAAGGTTATTGTGTGGGCGTTATGCAGTATGTGCAAAAACTCCAGCTAAAATGAAGCAACAATCTTTTTTTACCCATGTCTCTGCTGTACCGGCAATAAATGAAGAACACGATTATCTCCCTTCACTGGTAATTCATGCAATACATCAGCTGATGGTGCGAGCGGTGGATATTTGTTGCAATTTCACACATATATATCTAAATATACATATGTATATAACGGAAACACTCTCATACCACAAAGCTTCCTGTTGGCCATCAGTAAAGTCTGTGTGCCTCATTTAATTTTTTCATCTGTTTCTATATTTCACTGTGGAGTCCTGTAGCTCAGTGGTTAGAGCACTCGCTTTGCAAGCGAGACAACTGGTTCAATTCCAGACAGGGCGAAACCTTGGGCAAGTTTCCTTACTCCACACGCTTAATAATAATCCCTCCAAAACAAAACAATAATAAATTGGTCATTTTCAATCCACGACTGTTTGTGGGACACTGCTGTGTGCAATTGGCTGCTGCATTTCGCCCACAAATATATGGTCAATTCACTTTTCAGTGAAGTGCTTTGAGATGTCGAGAAGATGTGAAAAGCTCTTTATCAAATGCAAGGATTATTATTATTATTATTACAAAGCAACATTCCATTTGATAGAATCAATGCAAATCTTGTTTTTTTCTTAAAAAAACAGATATTATAAGAGACGTGTTTATGTACCTATTCACTGTGTTAAATTAAATTGAATTTCTTGAAGACTTAAGCAGGATCGCTGTGGTATTGTTTATAGGGGCATGCATTATGGACAGTTGCATAAAATGGTATCAAAATTGATTTGTGGAGTATCTTGCACACAACTTCCCAAGGCTGATCTTAAGGGACTCCCATTCAATGACACGAATGGTGAATGTTCTCCACAATCCAATGTCCCTTTTATAAACAAAACGCAAAATACTGTAGATATTGGCAATCTGAAACTACAACAGAAGTCATTGGGAACACTCAGCAGGTCAGGCAGCATCTGACAAAGGGTATTGGATCCAAAACGTTGACTCATTTTCCTTTTTCCTAGTTGCTGCCTGACCTGCTGAGTGTTCCCAGTGACTTCTGTTTTTGTCCCCTTTGTAAGTCTTTGTAAATCCCCAATCATGTTGCCACTGTCGGGGCTGTGCTGTCAAATCCATGGCATCTGAGTATTAGAGTTTTTCTCCTCCATATCCATGGTTTATCATTAAATATGTATTAATCGGTGTGCCTTGATGTTCATTAGGGTTTAGTATTTTAACATAAGAGGACTATAATGCCCTGGCCTCCAAATCGTACCCAGCAATTAATGGTATAAAGCTTGTTGAAACAGCTTTGGATGAATCCCCATCCCATTGTGAAACATCTTCACTGAAATCCAAGTGGAGGTTGAATCCTCCAAATCTAAAGATAGATGAAAGTCACAGGATGGGCGACAGCACCCAAAGTATTCAGTAAGATAAACAAATACAGCCAGTGGTCAAAAGGTGGAATCAATCCATGAAACAGCACAAGTGTCTTTGATTTTGATGCCCAGCAGGTACTTAGATTATGGTTACATGATTGTATACTGGCGCTGATTGATAGAATATCTCAGATGCCACCTCAGCTCAGGAAACGATTCACTGCAATTAAAGCAATGAGCAAGGATTCATATTGGTCCCCGAGGCACCATAATATAGTTGTTGTGTGACAGACACTCACATCACTGACTTTGTTTTTCACGTTTGGACCAGCACGTATTCAGAGATGGTAAATGTGAAGCAACATTTTGTCCCTGTTTGATTGTGCAAGCTACAAACTAACAGTCATTAAAAAAATTAATTATACCTTTGTATGGCTCTAACAATATATTATTGCAATGTATCTGTAATACTTGTTCATTTTGTATGTGAATTGTACATAGGGAAATAGCTGGACTAATAGATAGATAGATATAAAATTGCTCGCTCAATCCAAGACTGTTTAAGAAACTGCTTAGGGTAATTTGCTGTCTCGTTTTGTCCACAAATACCCAGTGAATTCCCTTTACAATATATTCTGTAAGATGCTTTGAGACATCTCAATTATGTGAAAAGGTGCTATATCATTATGATTACTATTATATGATCTATTTTTGTGTATGTCTCTTTCCCGGTCCAACCCACAAAGAGTGTTGTTGCATCCAGTCACCTTCTGCGTGAATTCACTGGATCAGGCATTCATTTCCCATATTCATTTGGTCAAGAATATTCCTCCTGGGAGTAGGGATTCTTCCACTCAGTTTCTGTTAACCCAGCAAGTCAAAGCTCTACCGAGTAGGTGGTCCTAGCTGGATAAGCAGTGGCAAGTTTGCCAGACTGTGCACTAAATGGCAAGCTATGCGATTTTTAGCAGGTTAAACTCCAGCAGTAACCCACCTTCACTCTGAGGTCCCCAAATCTTGGCTTCTGTCAACCCCTGCATAAACCTCCCCAGAATTAGTTAACCAGTGTCAGATCCTCAAGGGAGATAGTATGCCTTCCTTTCCAAACACAAGAAAAATCCCATATTTAGGTGTGGTGTATATGTTGAACCCTCAGTCTAGTTTGGATACACTTAAACATGGTGATGGGTTTCCACATGTGTCAGACACCAGGCTGCTCTAAAGAAAAGAATATTTCTAAATATTGCCAGTTCCAAATAAAATGTTATAACATCAAAGATAATATGAGTACGGTTCCTCCAATCTATATATCAACTTCACATCCATTAAAGATGTGGATTTTGTTGCATTCTTACTTGTAAACTATGCTGCCTCCATTTTGCAATCCTTTGGGGTTTGTTTAGGTGCTTGTCCATTTCATTCTTTAAACAGTACACATGCCACCTTTTCCACATTAGGTCATACATTGTAAAATATTTACAGCTCTCAGTTATAATTGTAATCTGGGACATATATTGTCTCCTAATTTTACAATGAAGCATCTGGTTCTACACAAGACGCTGATGCCAATAACTACTATTGTAGTTGTTGGCATCAACTGATCTGCCGAATATTATGCCACAATTCTACCAATATCATCAGGGTTTCAGTTGAAGTCAATAACTGGCATTTATCATTCTGTATGAATCAAACCTGAACAAACAATCACCTCCATTCAGCAATCGCCCCCAGTTAACATCCTTCCTGAAACAGCCCGGTTTGCACACCAAAGAACCCTAACTCACCCTTATATTTTGTCGCCTGGGTGTTTGATGAAGATTTGTTTGACTGTATATAACACACTGTTTACCAACTGTTGCTTTCAAAAAATCACTTGAAACACTATGATATATCCTCCTGATGTGAAAAATTTGAAATGAAAGGATAATTATTATAAAAGATCAGGAGGACAGAAGGAACTAGGGCAACATGAGAATTATATAAGCAGCAGATTTACCTTACAATGTCTTTCTTCTGCAGGCTTCAGTTAGTCTAATAAACGTTACCATTACTAATCCCAATTTATTTGAACCAAGGAACTACCAGTATGTGATTAGAGTTTCTGGGACATGTTGTTTGACTCTCTAACAAGTAATAGAACACAATTATCCTGACTATTAAGCTGAATAAGGCAATACAGAATTCCTCATCACAATGCTGTTCTGTTCAACCTCCAGAGTATCCATGCAGAATATGCAGAAAATTGGTCCAAAACACTGATTATCCAGTGTATTGGGACATTCTCCTGAAGTGAAAGGCTCTTTGAAAATTTTATTTTGTTTTTTTGGTTATCACGGTTTCGAAGTGTCTGAAAGCACTTCACAGAATATACTGTAAAGTGAGTTGATTGTATATTTTGTGGGAGAAATACACCACAAAAACTAGTTGAACCCAGATATGGATCAATTTCCTGTTTAAAAGAAGCTGAAGTTATTTAGTTGGGGTGAGGCACCACAATTGAACTCATAGTGTTCTTGTAGCTAGAATTATTGACACGTGGTTGTTTCTAGAAAGAAGGTTGGCGACACCTGCGCACACAAAATCATAATAAGTAATATATTTTCCAAATATTTGGTTGGCTACGTAAAAGTGTGAAGGGGCATTGTGAAATATATTTCTACTATAGGTAATCGTGGTTGCCAATGGATCGCAGTTACCCAATTAATTCATTTGATCAAAGGCGTCAAAAACAAAATATTTCCGCCCGATCAACTTGCTTTTAGATATTTTCCATCAGGTATACCAAATACAGCAGGGATCAGAGTGAATGGATTTCAAACTTTTGAGATTACGTTGTAGCCCAATAAGGACATTTACATCTGCACATCTCACCCTCTTAAGCTCGTTCATCAGTTTCGCGGTTTTCCTACTGTGATATCATATATCACTGCATCTCGATTTGCATCTGATTAAACGCAAACTGAGTTTTTCCAAACCCATCAGAGCTTCGAATTTATTTGGAGCCAGCGTCATCTGACATTGAGCAAAATGATTTTGAAACAGATTGTGTTTCTGTACCTAGTAATTCTCACTATTGGCACAGGTATTTGATATTATTCTCTCGATCGATATCTTCTATATTTTTTGTCACATGCGTTTACATAACATTTGTATTCATCTTTGACAGTTGCCGCCAATGCTCGCCTCACAGTGACCCAAACCCTTGAAAGCCCTATTGCGATCGTAGCTGCCAACGTTACCTTCAGATGCATTTTCTCCCCTTCTGATAATTCTGCTGTGACTGTTGAGTGGTGGAAACTGGGCGAGAATGAGTTTCTCCAGCCGGGCTCAGACAGCAGGAAACGGTTCCTTACCCAGAGTGGGGAAGCTTCCCTTCAGCTCCTGAGTGTCAACCTCCAGGACTCAGCAGCCTATTACTGTGGAGTGAGATATCGAGGAAGAGGAATGACAAATGGAACTGGATCATCACTGGTTGTTCATGGTAAGTAAGTGGTCGCTGCTATTGTTCTAAATATATCTCAATGTAAATAACCAGAGGACAGGGTTTTTGATTACCTCTTTTTTTCAATATCACAGCACAAATTAAATACCATAAATATGTGAAGCCAATTTATATTTAGTATTGCACTTTACCTTTTAGTGTTAAACTAAATGAAATTCCCTAAATAACAATAATAATAATCCTTGCATTTGATATATCGCCTAGTCATGTCTTCGAGGTGTCTCAAAGAGTATACTGTAAAGTGAATTGACTGTATATTTTGTGGGTGAAAACGCGGCAGCCAATTGCGCACAGCAGCGTCCCACAAATAGCCATGGATTGAAGTGACCAATTTATTGTTATTATTTTTTTGGAAATAATTATTATCCCCAGTAAAGCAATCCACCAATCGACTAACAACCAGGTTCCTACTTACTGCTCGGAAAACAGAAGTGTGTGAAGTAAGGAAACTTGCCCAACAATTCGCCCTACCGGGAATCAAACCCAGGTCTCGTGCGAGGAGAGTGCTCTAAATATACAAATTACAAATATAAAATAATGCACATTGAACCTCGGCGTGTTTTTGAGAACAAAATCCAATTTATATTTACTGCATATTGCATCTTTCATATGGGGAGGATGTCTCATCATTTAATCAACCTTACCAACCTCGCAATTTCATTCAAGCATGTAGCCTCGTAATGTAGTCCTGTAATAGAATACATCGATTAACAGTCATGAAACTCTATTTCCCAGTTGACCATTCTGTCATGACTGTTAGTGCATGACTGCCTCTTATAGCTGTCTCATTAAATGTTGCAAAATAGTAAAATTATTTCCATAAATGTTAGTATTAGCAATTTAAATTCAAGATATTCCTGAAGGAAATGTCAACAGTTCCCATAAATATTACAGCCTAAATCATTATACTGCACTGGAAGGATGGAATATGACAGAGAATAGATGTTCCAGTTTCAGAAATTATATGATTTGCACGTTTTTTCTCTAATCTGTTTTTTCACAGCTCCCCCGATGCAACCTAACATCGTGTCTGATGGGAACTCGACCACTTCTCTGACTCTAGTTTGTGAAACGGATGGGTTTTACCCAGAGGATATCAGTGTCACTTGGTATAAAGATGATAAGAATGTTTTCACTGTAAATAAAAGAAAGCAGCTTGGGAGAGATGGGAGAGGTTATCAAGTTTCGAGCTCCTTGGAAGAGACACAGCCCGTGAGGAGTGGGGCTGTTTACATCTGTGTGGTATCTCACCTAAGCCTCAAGTCTCCAATCATCGCTATTTACTCTGTTCCTGTTTCTAAACAAGGTACGATTGTTTTATTTCTCTAAACATAGACGTCTATTGTATCATTGGTTTTATAGCCTAGGCTAACTTCAGTGCGTTGCTGGGGTGAGCAGTGCCCTGGAATACTGAGAGCCCGCCTGGATCAGGAACCAGACTACCGAGACTGCCACCGAGGGCTGACTCGATTCTGACAATCCACTGCCAGGCATGTCATATTGGAGTCAGTTCAGCTCCAAGGAGACTTCACTAAGTGTTGTGTTGTATTGTCAGGGGTGCCATCCTTCAGATGAGATGTTAAACCGAGGTTCCATCGGCCTGTACAGGTGGATGTTAAAAGATTTTGTGGTAATATTCAAAAAGAGAAGGGAGTTTCTCTCAGTGTCTCTCTGAATTCTGCATTGTTGGAGGGTAAAAGCTTGAACTGAGGACGTCCCCTCTGCTTGTTGAGGTTGATGTTAAAGATCCCATGACATCATTGGATAAGAGAAGAGACTTTATCCAGGTGCACGTAAACATCCCTCAGATATTCACTTATTCACTTATATTCACTGCGCACAGCAGTGTTCCACAAACAGCCATGGAGTGAGTGAGCAATTTTACTTGGAAGATGGCCAGGACACTGAGAGAAGCTCCATTCTCTTTTGAAGTATGCCATTGGATCTTTAACAGCCACCCGAACAGGCAGTTGGAAACTCGGTTTAAAATCTCATCTGAAGAACGCCGCCTCTGACAATGCAACACATTACTAAACAGGGTATCCTTGGAGCTGAATTAGCTAAGCAGGATGCATCCCTCCATGGAGAGAGTACGCATTCCATTCCAACAATCTACCGTGTGTTGGTAGGAAGCATGAAAATCTCAGCTTGGTTGAGATTCTCAAGCAACCTGGGGCTTGAACCCGCAAAGTTGTGATTCAGAGGCCAGAGTGCTAACACTGCACCAGGCAAACAATTATAAAGAAAACAATCTGCCTAATGTGCATATTCTGTGAGATTAATTTTAATTAATTTAATGAATTCAAATTATGATATTTCATATTGCAAGTCATATTCCTACTATTCCTCTTCCCCCCACTCTTCAGCCCATCAAAATTAGTCCTTTTCCAGTCAAGCATTTTCACCCTTGACTGTACTTTGTCCCTGTTCATGAGTAATCTAAATCTAATAATATTAATATGTACATGTACATAAGTCCCAAACTACTTATGTATTATATCCCATAATGTTATTTTCTAAAAGAAAACTATCTACTGTGTGTTTGAAAGAATCAACACTTTAAGCTTCAACCATCTCCTTAGGGATCCTGTTCCAAAGGTTCACTATTCGCTCACTGAAAGAGAGTTTGCATAGATTCATTCTGAATTTAGACCCCCACCCGCCCCCCACTTCCACCCCACCCACTTCAATCACAAGCCTTGTCCTCTGGTTTTACTATTCTGGACAAGTTGAAAGAGCCTGTCCTGATCTACAACAACAACAAATTACAGTTATAGAGCACCTTTCACGTTGGGAGGACGTCCCAAGGCGCTGAATCTATATTGTCTTGCCCCTTTAAAATCTTAAAGATAGCAATCATGTCACCTCTCTTACCCAGCGTGAACATGCCTAATTTATTTAGTCGCTCTTCGTAGTCCAGTCCCTCCATTCCCTCAATCATTTTGGTTGCCCTCCTCTGTCTCTGCTCGATTTCTCCAAGATCTGATTGCTACATGTGAAAAATTGAAAGGAGATATCTTAGATCCTAATAACAATATAATAATAATCCTTGCATTTGATATAGCGCTTTTCACGTCGGGAGGACATCCCAAAGCGCTTCACAGAACACACTGTAAAGTGAATTGACTGTATATTTGTGGGCGAACGCGGCAGCCAATTGTGCACATTAATGTCCCACAAACAGTCGTAGATTGGAAATGACCAATTTATTATTGTTTTTGGTTTTGGAGGGATTATCATGTGCTGCTGCAATGCTGCATTGTTTAATGATGAATTCTAATTTAAGAGCCAAAGTCGTGGTGCAGGCCACTATTGAGGTTAAAAAAATGTTATATTTCATATTTGGTTTTATAGCCAGTGAGGATATTCCCCTTTGCTTGTGGATTTCTGGATGTGGAGGTGCTGGGTTTGCATTTCTTGTCCTACTCTTCATCATTTGGAAACAATGTCAATTCAACAACTGTAGAGGTAAGTTATTAATAATCCTTGCATTTCGTGCCTTTCACATCGCAGTGATGTCTTAAAGCACTTCACATATTTTTACTATAAAGTGTAGTTATTGTGTAATTAGTAGGCAAACATGGCATCCCATCTGCCTACAATGTTGTCCAACAAACAGCCACAAAGTGAATGATAAACTATGTTTGGTTGATTGCTGGCCAGGAAACCAGAAGAAACTTCCTCCTCTTTTGGAGTAGTGGCATGGGATCCTTATCATCCATCTGAAGAGATGGGTGGGAATTCAATTTAATATCTCACACGAAGGACAGCACCTCCAACAACGCAACCCCCCATTCTAGGCTATATGAGTTCAACCATCAATTTGGTCTTGCGAGACTCTACCGGCTTCCTGTTGACAGCCAGACTCTATTGGCACCCTGGTGAGAATGGATCGATTTCAAGGTCCTCACTCTCACTTTCAAATCACTGTACACCCTATCACCTCTCTCCATCTCCAATCTGCTCACACTCCTCTCCACTACACTCTGCTTCACCCACAAAATATACAGTCAATTTGCTTTATAATATATTCTGTGAAGCACTTTGAGATATCTAAAAGATATGAAAAGTGCTATATCAAATGCAAGGATATTTTATTATTTTTACCCACTGCCCTGCCCTCACTCAGCTGGCTTGAGTCATATGGATATCACTCATCCCCGCTGTTCCACTATTGGTGGCCATACTTTACACACTATGCTCCGAATGTCTGCCTCAATCACTCCATTTTGTCCCCTCTTTGCTAATCTTGAAATCACACCAGAAGATTGTCCCCTCCAACTGTCCTTTCATTTACCTCCCCTCACTTTCCAGCTCAGCTTCAAACCAGACCAGTTTTAAGCACGCCAGGATGCTACCCGCATGAAGCGTGCTATGTAAATGCAAGTTGTTGTCATTAAACCCACAACCTTTTGACTCAGAGACAAGCATGCTATCAACTAATCCAAACTGTAATGAGAAGGAATAGATTATTGAAAGATCCTTCGAGAGAATGGAAAGTTGTGGTTTCCAATGTGTTGACAGTAAGATTTTGATGCCATGAGAAATTTGATAGTTATCAATTAGTACAATGGGTTTGCAGTTCTTCAAGTCAAGAGACTCATAGAATGAAGTTGAAAATTAATGGACATTTCTAAAAGAATTTCACCATTGTGCTCATTATCATTAAAGTAACAGATTTGGATTAATAACTATCCAGCGATTATTGATTGCAAAGCATTGAAGAAATTATAATGCAGTATTGAAAGGAATTAGTGAGATTCCCTGGAATTGTGCCCTGGGAAGGCATGTTAGATGCTATTCTGAGTAGGAGTTGGCTTAGTTTGTGACTTACTTCCAGAGACAATGATTTATTGTAAATATGTTCATGTTGTGATTTCTAGGAAAAGAGAAAAAAAGGCAATCTCAGCATTGCGAAGATCCGGTATGTTTGTATCATTCATCTCTGTAGCTGTGTCAAATGTGTCATAGTAATGTGATCAATGTATCTTTGCAAATCTATTTTCTGTAAAATATTCTACAATTTACTCTAAGATGTGTTGCTTTTACATTATGTCTACAGGTCCTATCTGCCTGTTTAGGTGGATTTTAAGATCCCATGGCAATATTCGAAAAGAGAAGGGGGTTTCTCCCAGTGTCCTGGCCAACAATCACCTAAATAAAAAATTGGTCACTCACTCCTTTGCTTTTGTAGGATCTTGCTGTATGCAACTGGCTGCACCATTTCGCTGACAAAATGCACGGTCAATCCACTTTACAGTATATCCTATGAAGCACTTTGAGCCATCTTAATGATGTGATAAGGCACTATATGAAATGCAAGGATGGTTATTATTATCTGTGAGGAGAATGGGCTATAGGCAGATTCTCCATGGAGCTGACCCTGTTCCAAGATTATATGCTTGGCATCAGAATATTGGAATTCAGCCAATTCTCTATGGCAATCTCAGCAGTTCTGTTCCTGAGATACGTTTGTCCACATTTCCTGAGATATGTTTGTCCACTGATGAAGAACAGCCAACCTGGCTGGTCAACAAGACTTAGAGAGGCAACGATTTGTCTCATTCAGCTCTTATTAACTCAGCAAGCAAAAGCCCAGTTGGGTAGGGTGGTACTAGTTGGCCAAGCAGTGGGAAGTATTCTAGTAGCAAACTAAGCAGTATTATCTGGATAAGCTCCAGCATTCCTGTACCACAAACCTCCAAAAAGAGCAAAAAGGCTCTATATATTTAGAGACACTATATATATATACTATAAGCCAATAAGCTGAGTCAATAAGCCAAAAAGAAATGGGGTGCAATTTTTAATAACTGCATTATGATAACTTTTAAAAATGCTGCCAATGATAATTTTGTTTTGCCAAATGGTGAAGACAATAAACTAACTGCATAACTCATTACCTTCCAGATCATGCAGTGAACAATTAAGAAGAAGTTGATGTACGTTAGACCTGACCGGTTCTTGAGAAAATGGAAACATACCTAATGAAAACAATGTACGATGTACACTGATATAATGATGAATAGGGAGCCACGGGCTGTCTGCATAGATGGAAGAGTACAATTATATTAGATATTGATGCAGTTGCTTTTTACTGATGTACTGATGTGTGCTTAATGTAATACCATAGTTAGCATAGGTCAGAAACACATTCATCTCTGTCAAGAATGCCACTTTAGGAGGTTTGCTTTAGAAATCTTTATTCAAAGTTAATGTTTGATTCTTTCTTAGTACTATATTATTTGAAGATTATGTTTTGTTTAAAAACTCAGTATGCCACAAATATAAAAATAATTATTGGAGAATTCCCAGTAATCACTGGTGTAATT